CAGCCATGACTCAGTACTGCGTGTTGACCCCGGCTCCTTGTATGACTCAGCTGCACGTTGCTTTGTTTGATTTTAAAAAGTCATTGATAAAGAGGAATTTTCCCTCTTCAGTGTAATACTGTTTTGATTCTTTTATCTTTTTATGCCATCCTTTAACTTTTCAAAAGATACTCTTTAAAAATTTCCTTATTATGAAATGATAAACCCTCTGTGAAACACCTTAATAATAACAATAAAATTACATTTATAAAAAAATTCCTAATTTTTTAAGGTGCTTGGGCTATAGTGGCACTTTAGTGGCTATTTAGTGGCACTAAATAGCCAATAAAGGCATTATGACCAGCTCTCTGTGATGAAGATCAGTCACAAAATCTGTTACATACAGCATGCTAAGTGAAGCCTGAAAAAGAAGAGATAGAGTTAGATGAAGAGAAATGTCCGTGATAGCCTGAAGTGTCTACGCTAGATGGCATTTTGATGAGCAAGACTGTGAAAATAAGTACTAGATAGGTGTAAAAGGTCAGGAAAAAGTCTCCAGATCAAATGTGTTAATGATTTATAAACGTATTGAATTTTCAGTTGTCTTCTTTCTTTCCTAGGGTCTTACACACGCTAAGCGAGCGAGCTACTGAGATCCAGCCCCAGTCCTTCTGCTCCTTGCTTAAAGCTTAAAGCCTAGCATAGTATTACTGCTCATAGATTTTTAAGTACTAATAGTGGTGCCTTAAATTTTGATAGAGCTTTTTCTATTAAGCTTATAGTTAATAAGTGAATAGAATTATATTTTTATATGTTATGTAAGATTGGGCTTTTCTCAAAAATATAGTTTTTCTACTGCCATACTTATAAAGTAAATTATACATATATTTTGCATGTATATTATGTGTATGTATATTTTTGTGGATAAAAGTGAGTGTAGCCTAACCATTGGTTTCACTGAGTTCTTACTGACTAGTAAGTGTCCAGAGGCCAGTGAGCACAGAATCTACTGCTTCCTTAGTGAACCTGTCTACTCATGGCCTCATTTTGCCGCTCTCACATAGCTCCATTTGATCTTTTATCTCATAAGGAATTTAGCATGCACATAATCCCTGCTTACATACTTCTCTCTTTCTTCTGGATTTCATGAGTATCTAAAGGAACAGGGACTAATCTAAACTTGAAACCAAAAATGGGATAAGAGAACTTGTAGGATAGGTCAAGAAAAGAATGAAGTGGGGAAACCTCTTCCTTTTCTTTTCCTTTTCTTCTTTCTTTTCCCTATGTATTACTGTGGTGCCCAGGCTTTCTTCAGATAAAGCTGTACTTTCTTACTAGTCTGATTTCCCCCTAGAGAAACCATTAAACTGACCTTTAACTAATCTGTAGAGAGTGCTTGCTGTAAGGATTTTGTATATTGTAATATCTCTATCTTTATAATCCGTGATCTAGATGGTCATATACCCAGAATACTGATGCTGCTACTGAGGCTAAGTACCTTGCCCAAAGTCTCACAGTCAGACGAGGTTTTTAAACATAGGTTTCTTTGACTCCAGAACTCAGCTTTTAATAAGTAGAATGCTAATGTTGCTCAAGGTAAGGCTCTTAAAATAGCAGAGAGAAAAGATGGGAATACATATAACCTTGGCAAACAGAAGCCATATTGATCATACCTAAACCACCAGCAATCAGAAGAGAAGGAATAAGTGAGCAAAGAGAACTAACAGTGAAAAATCATAGAATAGAAATGACAACACACCAGACAATTTTGGCTAAGGATGAGAAAATCTCTGTGTTTTGTTTTGTTGTTTCTCCTTGAGACAATGTTGTGCTATGTTCCCAGCCTGCCACAAACTCCTGGGCCTAAATGATGCTCGTGTCTCAGCCTCCTGAGTAGCAGGCACACAGCCTCATACCTGGCTAGCATTCCCCTAAGGGCTAGAAATCAAACTATTCAGAATTTTAAGGTGCTACTGTATATTTTAAAAACTAGGACATTATTGAAATCCCATGAGCTGTTGACATGACCTTATAAGCTGTTTTAGTTTTCTTTACAAAACACAGAAAGTAGTTCTTGCTTAGAACTACTTTTTTTTAACCTTCTGCTTGTCAGTGATTTGTTGAAACCTATCCCAGTGAGTCAGAAAAATAAAATCTATTCTTCCACCCCCACTTAGAGCTCATATTTGTCTTTCCTTCCCTCCTCCCTTTCCAGTGCCCACACCCATATTTTTGATAATGCTTCTCTTTCTCAACCGGTAGTTGCTTTAACATGACAGGCATTTCCAAGGCTGTTAAGAACTAATAAAATTATATTCTACGCTCCTGCTGTTGTCCTGGTGCCTTGCTAACTGGGAAAAATCGAGGATGGGCAAGAGGAAGAGTATTTGACCATTTTGAAGTAGTCTTGCACAAAGAAAGGATATGGGACTTCTCCCTACAGAATAGTTTTGGGGCTGGGGCCCCGCGGCTCACATCTGTCATCCTAGCTACTCAGGAGGCTGAGATCTGAGGATCACGGTTCAAAGCCAGCCCAGGCAGGAAAGTCCATGAGACTCATCTCCATTTAACCACCAGAAAACCAGAAGTGCCACAGTAGCTCAAGTGGTAGAGCACTTGCCTTGAGCTGAAGAACTGAGGGACAGTGCCCAGGCCGAATTCAAGCCCCACTACCGACTAAAAAAAAAAAAGAATAGTTTTGTTCTACTTTTTCTCATACTTTAACCCAAGCTACTGGTCCATAATTTGCTGCACTTATTAAAAGCTCTGTTTCCTAGACTTATTGGGAGAGCCAGTAATTAATTACTTTGAAGAACTTAACAATTATGATTATATTTAGACTAACTTTAACTTACCTTAACTGGAAAATGCTTGTTTTGAAATAAACTCTCTGAATAAGAAGGTATACATCATCTAACTTCGCTTTAAAACAAGAGTTCCTGCTTTATGGGTTCACCTTCAAGTTTTCCAGTCACTATAAGCTACATCTGGTAGTGCCGCATGCTGGCACTCATTTCTGTTTAAACCTTCTGCTTCTGTGAGAGGCATTGGTGCCTCACATCAATAATCTAGATACTTTAGAGTATCTCAGAGGCTGAGATATGAGGATCTCCATTCAAAGCCAGTTGGGCAAGAAAATCCATGATACTCTCATCTCCAGTAAACTACTGTGAAAAAGCCAAAGGTAGTACTGTGGCTCAAGTTGTATAGTACTAGCTTTGAGCAAAAGAAGCTCAAGGACAGCACCTAAGTCCTGAGTTCAAGCCCCAGGACTGGCACCAAACAAGCAAAAACATAGCAAAGGGCGGGGGCTGGGGGGAGGGGGGAGACTTCTGCTTCTCTCCACCTTGAGAATCAGCGTAGAGTTTGCTTTCTCCTGTAATAGCTACATTATTGTATGGTATGTTTGAGTCACTTGGTTGATGTTGCTACAGTGGTTTTGCTTCTATTTGATCTGGGTTTCCCACTATTAGGCAGAACTTTATGAAAATTATTTGTAATTGAGCTCACATGATTTCATGTAATTCTGATTTACAGTAATCATTTCTGGTATTAGGTGTTGAAAATGTGTCACTTGTCATCCCATTATTGCCAGTAATTGTTAAAGTCTTTGTCCGTTACGTATAATATACATTCTTAATTTGTAGGTTGGCTTTTCACTCTCTTGTAGTGAACAGAAAATAAAAAGTTCAACATAATTTATTGACCTTTTCCTTCATAATTTGAGGGATTTTTCTTTTTGTTTGTTTTTTTGTGTTTTTCTGGTGCTGCGGCTTAAATGCAGGACCTGGTCACTGTTCCTGAGCTTTTTTGTTTAAAGGTAGTGCTCTACCACTTATGCCACAACTCCATTTCTGGCTTGTTTGGTGGTTAATTAGAGGTAAAAATCTCACAGACTTTCCTGCCCAGGTTGCTTCAAACTACTGTTCTCAGATCTCAGCTTCTTGAATAGCTAGGATTACAGGCATGGGCCACCGGCACCCAGCTATAATTTGTGATTTTAAAAAAGAAATTCTTTCATGTGTAAGGTCATGCACCCGTGCTAAAGTGAGTGAATGACCTCCTTTGACCAGCCCCCTGACAGCTCATTCCTCCAAAGAGAAACTCAGGCCCAACAGCAGAGGTAGCTGAGGCAGTTCAGATAGAAAACGTCTTTGGAAATGGTGAGAGAGACACAGGGTAAATACACATGTTAGATGACTACTTTTGTACTTAGCATCATATTTCAGGTATTTTTTCATCAATCAAACAAAAGTCAGTTCCAACGAATATATTTCACATATATTTATCAAATAGTTGCAGTTATAAACAAGACCTTAGGACACAGCTTATTTGTAAATATTTGTGATGGCTTGCTTTATTTTGTCAAGAAAAATTCATAGAGGTAGTGTCGCTTGGCTGAAATGCATTCAGCATCAAAAAAAGAAATTGAAAATAACCACGAGTTATATGAACTTTAAACACATTGACTTCTGGACAGCACTCTCTGCTGTTACTTAATTCTTTACAAGGAAATGCAGTATTTCAAAGTATTCAGCCGTTACAGTTCTACAAAAGGCTTAGCCTTACTGATAGCTATGTGATAGGTATAGCATAGTAATAACATGTAATTTTTCCTATCTCATTGTCTCCCATAATTTTGAATATATTTATCTTGAGGAGAATTTCATAATATTTTAAATGCTCTCAATAATATTTGTGATCAACTGGGCTGAGAATTAGTTGAGTAATAGAATACATGTGGCTCCAGGTTCTATTCCCAGCACTGGAGGAGAAAACGGTTACAGAGCATATGTGTAACATTTTTAACTGACCTCTTCCTGTTAGGGTAATTAAGAAGTCATCAAAGGCCCAGTGACCCCACAAAGCGGTATATACTTGCTGGGTGTGAATACTGTGTCATTATTTAAATGCTTTTCTTAAGGAGAGACTTTAATTAGGGGATGTAATTCGTCACCTTCCATTTCATTGTCTCTAGCTGCTAATGCTGGGTCTTGTCTTGTCACTCTGCTCATCCACAGGTTAAAGTGTTGCACAATCAGCTGGTCCTTTTCCACAATGCCATCGCTGCCTACTTTGCTGGGAATCAGAAGCAGCTTGAACAGACACTTAAACAGTTCCATATCAAATTGAAAACCCCTGGAGTGGATGCCCCATCTTGGCTTGAAGAACAGTAAAATGTCACCTGGCAGAAAAAGCACGTCTTAACTGTTGTATTCGTAAACAAGCCTAGTAAGAGTTAGTGGTGAAGGGACAGCCAGGGTGGTGATTCTTGCACGTAACTTAGTATGTTCCCTTTTTCATACCTTAACAATTGCACCCTTCATTCGATGAGCAGGTGAGTGGTGTTCATGTAAATGTAATTTCTATAATCTGAACACAGTAATCTTCCTTTTTGAGAAATCCTTTTGTATTGTGAGGGTTGATGGCTATTTCTGTAGTTTAAAAACATCTAATATAGATTTGCACTGATGAGATAAAATTTCAAGGTTTTTGGTCCTGGAGATGAGGACCAATTGTAACTTTTCCAAAGGGAGGTTTACATGATTTGTATCAACATCAGATATTTTATATATGAATATATATTAAACATCTTTAAGAGATTCGTTTTCGTGTATTGTCTTAAAAGGAAACTATTTTGCAGAGTAAATTATATGGTGTTCATGCAGCATACACCCAGGTAGCAGCTGTGATGAATGAATAATTGGCTCGTGGAGTTGTGAACAATAAATCTACCATTGTAATTTTGTTTAGACATTTTTTGAAAAATGCAGGAATCACACTGTCCATTTTGTGAGGTGTGTAAGCTTATGAATTTGTATCATCCAAAGTCACTAGTGGTTATATTAGCAGTTTATTTTGATTTATAATGAAACCTGCTATGAGATACTTTTTTTTTTTAACCTGAAGACTTGGGAATGGAAATTCTTGATAGTTTCTAAGGTAGAAATCTGTACTTAGAAAGCTTGTTTCTGGGTAAATTTCATTTTGATAGAAGTGAATTCCTAGACAGCTTTCATTGACTTCCTTATATAGCTATACCAATTAAGCCTTAAATCACAGATATGTGCCTTCTCAGATACAGTAATTCTTGTTCAACCAATGTACATAATCCATAAAGAAACCTCTTTAGATAATGTTGATGTGTCTGATCCTTAGAAAGGAGCACCATATGTAAATGTTGGATTTCTTTGTTCTTATTAAACCATACTTGAGGTTTATGGTAAAAATCAGCCTTCGAGTTTACTGTTTTGGTTTCTCTTGATTCCTTTGGAGGAATGAGAACATGGAAGGACATTTTTCTTTTGGGTAATGAAAAGGTCTTGTGGAACTGTGGTGGTATGGGGTGGAAAAGGTGACAGAAAGACAGTGCTATTCTGGTGTGTGGCACTGCAGGTTTTGTGTTCAGTGTTTGACCTGTCTGCTGTTCTTCAGCAATCTAATCCTCTTTAAATGTAAAGTTCCTTTAATTTTTTTGTCATAAATATAAATTAGTATTTTAAAAGATATCTCTTCTCCTGTTCATTTCTATTGTATTGAAATGAAGTACTTAAAATTACTGTTATACGTGAACTTTGTGGATTGTAAGATTTGTTATATATGTCCAAATGCCTTTTAGCTGGCTTTTTAATTAATATGCCTGTTTTGAGTGCTTACTACAGTGTAATGTGATTGTAAATCATAAACGTATTTGAAATCATTCCCCCGTGTATATTTGTACTCTGAGAGCCTTATTGGATTCTTCCAACAGAATAACTACTCGTGATTATTCTCTTACATTCCCCAGAATGTGCCTCTGGTGTGAACTTTGTATTCTTATTAAAAGTGTTTGCTACGGTACTTTGTGTCTCTGGCCCTCATAGTTTTAAATCAGAAGTCACTGTTTAGAAATTCTGAGGATACAGGGTATTTCATTTTTCTGAACTCTAATAGCAACAACTACAAAATGTGCTTATGTTACTTACAACTGTCATGCTGAAACTGGTTCTTCTCCCCAGGTCTGCATCTCTTGGGAGCTAAACATGTCCACTCTCAGCACATCTCAAGAAACAGTTGTAGTAGCAGCCAAGCTAGGTAGTTCCATGGATGAATGAAAAAAGGAAATGAAAAGATAAATTTTGTTCATCATGTCACTGCTCATTTGAAAACAAATTAAAAATGTATGAGAGAAATAAGTAAATTCAAATACTGTCGAATGACACATTTGCTTTCCTAGGAAAGTAACTCATATCCTTTGTAAAAAAAGAAGAAAAGATCATAAAACTTCCCAAGAGAACAAATACTGTGTGGAAACACTTAACTCTCCTGAAGTTAGATATTTCAGTTACCATTCCCCACTTCCCTACCCCCAGTCCTGGGGCTTGAACTCAGGGCCTGTCCCTGAGCCTCCTTGTGCTGAAGGCTAACACACTACCACTTGCACCACAGATCCACTTCTGGCTTTTTCTGAGTAGTTTATTGGAGATAAGAGTCTCACAGACTTTCCTACCCAGACTGCCTTTGAACAGAGGTCCTCAGATCTCAGCCTCCTGAGAAGGTAGGATTATAAGTGTAAGCCACTGGCACACAGCTCCCTTACCAATTTTTATAGTATCCCTCGCATTTATATTCTGTAACAGGCTTGCATTCATCTTGTACTTTTGTGTGGTTACTTCCCTCAGCTGTATTCCTAGAGAACTTTGTACTTGATTTTCAGATAACAGCCCCAAAAGCACACATAGGCGACTTATTTTGCGGATTTGTAAACCAATTCACAAAAAATGAAATGATGCATAGAATCAGCAGGAGACTACTACATGTAAATGTTTTACGTGAATGGGAAAACTCATGAAGGCTGAACTATGAGATTTAGGGAGTTTGAGATATGGAATGAAAGGGCAGGAGATGAATAGAAACAATTGGCATTTCTCTCATTCAAATACCAGTTACTCCAGAAAAAAAAAAATTACACCAAAGAAACTAATCTCTTCATCCCATACTATCAAATCTTAAGGTCTGAGAAATTCCTGGGCTAATAGAAGTAATTTAGCTGAACATAGACCTTAACCATTTTTTTCCATATTCAAAACATATCCTGAACACGAGATCTGAAGGTTCCCTAGAGATTATTTAAACACTTTTACCAGTTGAAGAAACCAAGCACACAAAATATATTAAACTAATTAGCTGACCCACCATCTTCAAATATAAACCAAATGAGTGTTTGAAACTAAATACATAATTGCTCTTTTTTTTTTTTTGTCGGTGGTGGGGCTTGAACTCTGGGCCTGGGTGCTGTCCCTCAGCTCTTCAGCTCAAGGCTAGCACTCTACCACTTGAGCTACAGCGCCACTTCCGGTTTTCTGGTGGTTTATTGGAGATAGGCGTCTCACGGTCTATCCTGCCCCGGCTGGCTTTGAACCGTGATCCTCAGATCTCAGCCTCCTGAGTAGCTAGGATTACAGGCGTGAGCCACCAGCGCCCGGCCATAATTCCTCTTTAAATCCTGCTATTTCAACTGTGTAATAATAGGTTATATCAATTTCCTTCTATAGGTGAGTACAAATATATATATATATAAATATATATACATACACACACACATGTATCTGTATAAAAACTATCTTCCCAGGTTAAAAAGTTAAAAAAACATTCACCAATGAATTCATATGATATGCAGTGCAAAGTATGGAAGATATTTGTTCTTTCCATTGACTTGTAATTTTTAACTGCAAATAAGAAATGATGTAAGAGAGAAAAGTGTCATGGAAAAGTAAAATAAGTACATTGGGGAAAAAAGTGAAAGAGAAGTTTCATTTCATCATGTGACTATTGATTTGAAGAATAATATACCTACCTCAAAATGTGCTGTCTCCTTTAATTTTCCTTGCAGATGACTGTAGGTGTGAAAAATAAAAGCAAATTCAGTTGCTAGTGCAACACTTGTATGTAATTTTTGCTACTACTGTTAAACTACGTAGAATATCTACATTTTGTAATAATCCCTAACTACATTTTGGCACATTACCACCTTGAGTCATAGCTCCATTGCTAGCTTTTTGGAGGCTACTTGGAGATAAAAGTCGCATGGATTTTCTATTGCAGCTGGCTTCAAACTGCAATCCTCAGATCTCAGCCTCCTGAGTAGTTGGGATTATAGGCATGAGCCACCAGTGCCTGTTCAGTAGCTTCTTTTGTGATCCACTTAGTTGCCAGGAGAGTTGAGACTACCTTTTTCACTCAGTTCTAACCAAATTTAGGCATTAAAAATACCTGATTCTCCTAGAAGGAGAAAATGTTATATCAGTAAAGACTATCCATCTATAAGTAGACTGTTTCCTTCTCAAAAAGCTAGGAAAATTTTGTACTTATTCAAAGCTTCTCCAAGGCCAAGGGTCCTTGTATATTTTTACAATATAACAAGACCTATTAAAATAGAACAACGCAAACAACTTTCCTCTGAGAACTTTGATGAAATTCTGTTCTGTGTTCCCACTTGAAGGTTTCCTGCTCAACAGGTTTCCTGGCATAAATGGCTCTTTATGATAAGTTGCCAAGAGATCCTTCTAAATGTACAGGAAACTGAAGTTCAGCTTTATTTGTGTGAGCCACAAGGGTGGTTCTGAAAGTTTATCCATATTAAATGAGAGCTACTTGTTATTCTGTTAATCCAAGGGAGACTATCAAAAAGGAAAGAGGAATTAGTCCCAGTCTGTGAGCTTTAATGTGTGTGCAGTTAATTCACTCGTGATGTCACAGCTGGGAATGCCAATGACAGTCTGACAAAACTGTACCTCAAAAACCAAGAGCACAATTTGGGAGCTGGGGTGAGCCAAGCGAGGCTGTCCATGAGCATGGTCTGTCAAAAACTTTGTGCAGCTGTGGTTTATCTATGATTTCCTGACATACAGAAAGGTATAAGCAAAATCAGATACCATTTTGTTTTTCTTAAGAGTTAACTTTTCTCAGATGAGACTTTTCTCTCATTTTTTTTGCTTTTGGTATAGCGGGGGAGTGTACACCTAACTGGCATAGGGCCCAATGAAAGAAAACTGTCATCATGTAAACTTCCTGTCTTCAAGCTTTGATTACTGGCGTTCCACTAAAAGAAGAGCAAACTCTCCCTGTAAAAAAAGGTGGAGGGGAGATGGAAGGTAAGTTTAATCCTGTTGCTCTTCTAAAACAGATTTTGGAATAATGCACCCTAGATAAATTATTTGTATATGCTAATTTACATTTGTTTCCCTCTAAATGATTTCTGATGTAGTCTACATTAAGGAAGTTCTTATGAAAACATATGTGGATAATTATAATTCATTCTCTGAGGAGTATATACTTACTCTGACTAGACATTTGGCTGAAAAAGGCAGTGTATGATGCTTTTTACTCTGTATCTTTAGATCATAGTTTAAAAAAAATAGGAACAACTGAATAATTAAAGTACGTGTTGATACTCAAGGGACTTTGCATTAGTTTTTATTTATTATATTTATTTTATGTCAGTCCTAGGACTTGAACCCTTAGTTTTTGTGCTGAAGACTAGCACTCTACCATTGGAGCCAAAGCTCCACTTGTGGCTTTTTGGTTGTTAATTGGAGATAAGAGTCTCACAAACTTTCCTGCCTAGGCTGGCTTCAAACTGCATTCCATATCTCAGCTTTAGGATTACAGGCTTGAGCCACTGCCCCACTTGCATCCGCTTTTTAGCGGCCATGATGACTATATTGTGATATAAGGGACTGGCATCACTAGGAAATGTGTGTGAACGCATTCAAGGCAAAAGGGAGACCATAGGTTCTGTAACTTTTCATCAGGTTAGCACCAGAACATTCATGCTTACTCACATGTATGGTAGAAAGCTGTTTGGTTTTTTTGTTTTGTTTTTTGTTTTTCGGTCTTGAGGCTTGAACTCTGGGCCTGGGTGCTGTCCCTCAGGTCTTCAGTTCAAGACTAGCACTCTACCACATGAGCCACAGCGCCACTTCCTGTTTTCTGGTGGTTTATTGGAGATAAGAGTTTCACGGACTTTCCTGCCAGGGCTGTCTTTGAACCGTGATCCTCAGCTCTCAGCCTCCTGAGTAGCTAGGATTACAGGCATGAGCCATGGGTGCCTGGCTAGGAAAGCTGTTTTAAATAATGCAAGATATTATTACTGAAGCAGGAGGGAAGATCTATAGAAGCTCATGGGTTCAGAGAGTAGGTAGGAATCTGCCGTATCTCATTTTCCACAAAGGTGGCAATTAACTTTCCTCCTCCTCTTCCTCTTCCCCCCTCCCCCTCCCCCTCCTCCTCTCCCTCCTCCTCCTCCTCCTCCTCCCAGAATCCCCCCTCAAGCACATGAAATAAGCTAGGTTTATGTTAGGAAGTACAGACTTGGACAGTCTTCTGTTTGCTAGGAAAGATTACTGAAACTCAGCAGAGAAGAAGAAATAGTTCAAGATTCAGGACAAAAGGATAAATTCCATGTTGGAAATCATGTATTCACTAAACTAGAATTACACCCCCCCCCACTTGTCCTCCTAAGTTTGTTTCTTGGTTGCTATATGAATGAGAAGTTAAGGCCGAAACAAAATACCAATTTTATTTTAGCTTTATTAGGATGGTTTCTTCTGTCTCAATCCTTTGCCCTATTCTCATAAATAAGCATATACTATCAATGTATCCTATTAGGATCTAGATGTCATAAGGACTTACCTGCTTTTACTATGGCCTCATTTACTCTTAACAATGTAAGTCTTCTTAAATTATATTTGTTGGTAATTTTTATAACTAATTTTTAATCTAAAAGAATATTTAATGACAGCCAAGTTTTTTTCCCTAATTCAGACTTCTTAAGAGCTTAACTCTTTAAACCCAAAGAA